TGTCCTGGTCGTTCAACCTGCCTCATTTGTCGGTATTTGGAATTTTTCAGCGTTGTATGCCATCTTTTGGTTGAAATTTGTTCAAATCATCAGTCAATCACTTCCAACCAGCTGGGGGGGGAGTGAGAATGGGTGGGTGGATGGAGGGAAACGGGAATATATTATTTATTCAAGCTGTCATTCAATGGACGAGCGGAGTATCGGAAACTGTCGAGGGGGGGGGGCGGTGTTTTTATCTTGCGTCACAACTACAGCCGTTCAGGGGATGATCATTTTGGATCGCTTGATTTGAAACTTCATCGCCTTCAGCTGGCAAACGTGATCGATTCGTGCGGGATAGCTCAAGTCGGTGTTCTGCTTCGTGAAGCGAGTCTCCCGACTTACGACACTTCCTCTTCACCTTTTGTCCACTCAGTACAGGTAATCGCCTCCATGCCTATGGATTGGTGGATTGATCCACCCTGTAACTGCTACACATCAAACACGCAAGAATATAGTACAGGGAAGTTAACAGTAAAATTCTCTAGCGACAGAAAAAATGTTTGTTAATAATCGTTCTGTTGTGCCTTCGCAAACCACGTTTGCAAGGCATTCAGTTCCAACTTCCGACCTCCCCAAAATCAGAGGCAAACAAGAGCATTGGGAAAGGAGTATTTAACGACGTTCAGCTACGTAACAATACCAGGGAAGACATTATATATACATATATATATCATTTCATATTTTTTTTTATTTTCTGCTACGCAGGCTAGCCAAGGCCAAGGTGGGTGCTCGGCGCGTTGCACGGCGTATTGCCAAATGCGGATTTCCCTGTCGTTTTAGCAAATACAAGGTTGTGAATATCATGGCTACTTGTCATTTGCCTTTTCGGGTTCGACTGGAAGAACTGGTCAAAGAAAAACCGATGATGATGAGGCAAGTTCTTTGCTTTGTGTGTGTGTGTTTGCGGTGCTTCCATTCAAATAATGTGCAGAACAATCTCCAATGATCAAACTCTATGTGAGCACAATAGTCATTAATCCGGAAGTTGATGCGGGTTTTGTCGAGATGGAGGGAGATTGTATTTTCTGTAACGGATCAGGTGGTGCCTACCGTGATACTGGAACGATCCTTATACTCACAAACCGTGTACAGTATCGTTTACCTATTTTCACTCTGTACATTCAGTACTCCTAGTCTATTTGATTGTTATCATCAAACCTTTGATTCGGTTCCCGTTGTACTACAGTCACATGTGGGCTGGAACTCCGTTCTTTTCCTCGTTCATCGCCCTCGGCGAATGTTGTTCGGTGCATTGTTTCTGTCGTGCCCGATCCGCCCAGTCCTACCCATGTCTTATCAAACGTGTTGGTCTGTGTTTTCCGATTTTCCATTCTCCGTTTTCCCACTCATAACCTTAACCTTGGAGTTTTACTAGCCCAATGGTCTTCACCTAAACGTCTGATTGTATTCTATGCCTAAGGCGTTCCTCTATTTTTCGTACCTCACTTATCTGTGTGTAATGAGCAAAGCGAAAACGAACCGGGCCGAATTGCATTGAATTATGACCCACATTCCTGTGCCCCCATTTCGTTCTCACACTTATATCCGCACATTGCGCTTTAGTTCTTCCGTATGCAGAATCGTTGTAAAATCAAACGTCCGATCTGATTCCCTGATTTGACTTTCGAGCCCAATTTGTTGTCTGTCCATTTTTTTTTTCTTGCCGTTAGGTTTCTGGTTTCTGGTTTGTAAAAACCACACATTTCCTCAGTCTAAGAATCTTTCAGACGCATCACAAAATGCGATGCTTTCATTTGCTTACCTGGTATCCTGGTATCCCCCCACCCAGAATAATCGTTATGATGGTGATTATTATTATTTTTTTTCTTTTCTGATTGTGCGTGTGTTTGCAGTCAATGTAAATTGCCAGAGCATATCACAAAGTGGTTCTGGCAAATTATCCAAATACCCCCTGTCCGAGAGTGAATATCGCTCCGCTGTCAACGACAGATCTCTTGCACAATTTAATGCTCTCGGTTATTCCATTATGGTCACGATAGACAATTGATCGATTTTTTCTCCTGACCTGCCCTATCTCAGTCTACACACGTTGCGAATCTGTGTTTGCCACTGCCCCATCAATCTCGTGACTTGTTCTACAGATAGTTCAATCTAAAAGTACCTTGGAGTTCGATTTCATATTCGACTCGCGCATTGTTACTAGTCCTATTTTTTTTATCTACACACACACACACACACATTATTATCATCGTTTATTCTGATAACGCACCCTGTTGTTGTTCTTTGTTTCTGTCCGTTTATTGTAACACAATTACCATCTGAGAGCCATAAAAAGAATCTTTTCAAGGAGCGCTCAACCTCCACCGACCCCCATGCCGCATTCGGTGAAGAGGACAGTCAGGATAAAATGTGGTGTCTTTCTAACAGAAACAGTCACCAAATAGAAATGAAACTAGTGCGACCTGGATTGAAAACCCACAATTATTTTTTCATCAGAAAAAGGTTTAATTTGGAGTGTTCCGGAATATAGTATGAAATTGTTGATATAACAAAAGGGAATACAGATTTGCTGATACAGTCAAATTCAGATTTTTATTACGGAAATTACGTACAAACTCATACTTTTTTGTCCTATATGATTTTTCCACAATCGAATTGTGGATGGTCAACACTGAGAAACGTCATACAAAGTTTCGGGGTACACAAATGTCACGTGATGGAACCTTGTTCCATTATTGTAT